TAGTAATTTTGACAGATTTTTCTAAAATCTCTATGGTCTATGTTTAGTCTATGCCTTGAAAAGATAGAAGAGGCTAGTGAAAGTTTGTTATAAATCGTTAAATATTATACAAAGTCGACGTTTATCATGTACCCTCAAAACCACAAAGTAAACTGATTACGCTGTCTGCGCCGGAAGAAATATGAAAAATTCTAGAAGAAAGTGATGGTGAAGATCATCTTTTGGACGAATTTGAGAATTCTTTAGAGAATTAGAGTATTATCATGTGACGTATACGTCCTATACAAATTTTGTGCTAAAAAGTCACCCGGTACCACATGCATGAAGTCTCTATTTTCTTTACTCATACGTGCAAGTAAATAAAAACGATATAGCTTACACGTGCAAATTAAAAAATATCTATAAGTTTCAAAGGGGTCGTACATTATATTTTGATGCACTCACGTATTGTTTGTAACTTGAAATGCATCACAAGAAACGTGTCAATATGACGATTCCAAGTGTAAATTGCTTACCTACGAAAACAAGACTATTTGACTTTTACTGAGTTGAATATCCAAAGGTCGCTTGGATAATACTTTTAATTTGAAAATTCTAAATTTTGTTCTGCTAATAGTTTTAACAAATGATCAAATTTTAATCGATTTTAGGATTGCGTGGACTTAAAGCTTTTTCTGACGGGCTTAATGCGATTCCGTGTAGATAAATGTGGTGAAACCCTTACAGGTTATAATTATTAATACAAAGTCGAACCCTCAAAAAAAATCCTTCTAATATATCGTGTCAGACGCTATACCAACTAAGCCACGGAACGAACACACAAATTTTTCTATGTTTGTTGTCGTGTCTTTATATTTGGGGTTTTCCACGGCTTTTTAGCCGTAGCGCCATCTATGGAAATCTTAAGTATTTCGTCACCCAGTTAGATACCTTTACAGCTAGAGATGTCGCTATTCATTGTATTTAAATTTTATTGAATTGATATTCAATTATTTTTCAAGTGAAATTACTACACTAGTTTGTTATAATTATTAACACAAAGATCGAACACTCAGAAACCCTTACAGGTTCCTTACCGCGATATGAATTTACAACGTTTATTGTATTTTTACTTTTTTTATTTAATTGTAAAGTTGCAAATTATGAGTTGAATATATCGTCTCAGCTGTCTTAAGAGTCGAGAATATCTCAGCTCGACTTCATTTTTTTTCCCGTACTAAGTCGGTTCTATTGTGCTGGTCGAGCAGCAGGGACACTGGCTTTATTTGAGGTTCTTTTTTACAAACGAAATTAAAGCCATTTGAAAAATCTATATCGTAGAGCGTATATTACATGTGTTCTATTTAGTTCAGGTGATATAGGAAAAAAATTGTTAGTATATTCAATAGGACATTACCTATAACGGTTTTCTTGTACAATTTCGAGGTACGTTTGTGTTTTTTCTATCGTGAAAGTTTTTAAAAATCGTGTTTTCACACCATATACTAATCAATATACATTCTCAATTTTACTATAATTTTTTTTCCAAAGTTAAGCGGAATCAACTAAAGCCATTTGAGGTTGTATCCACTGTTAAATCGTTTTGTAAATTTAAGATGAGGGTTAGATTGTAGTCAATTTTGTAGTCTGTATTTATCGCTTTCTTTGGTTTGTTTAGTTTTAAGTACTATTTTCAATCGTATGTGTTATATTTAAATTTTACTTTATCTTTAAGTTTAATTTTAAATCTTCTTAGACGCTTTGGCTGACGCTGTTAATAATATTCCTTTATAATTAAATTAATTATGTCAAACATGTTCGGAAATGTTTGTTGTCACATTACCTTCAAAAAACGAACACGGAGAGTTTGTCATTTAGGGACCATGCGATTACTTCCCGGCCAAGGCCTTCAAAGTAAGTATGAAAATCCAAAGCTGTCCACTTTACTGAATTTTTAAAATCCACCTACTAATAATGACTTACGTAAAAAGACAAAAGAAAAACTCGTACAGCGAACTGCCAAGTGTTATTAAAAGTACCTACCTCCACCGCTTATTATTATTTTTTTAAAAAGGTGGTAAAATAAACTAAAATGTTTTGGTATTCTTTTCTGTTTTTTTTTGGCCTTTTTTCTATGTTCGTCGCGAAAATAAGTGCTAGTGAGAAGAGCGATAACGAAAATAAATAATTATGGATACACAAAAAACCGCATCATCAGACGTTCAACAGACGTTATTAAATGTGCTTGGAAAAACTATGTCAAATATTACTTTTAATTTTAATTAACATTTTTTTAACTTTTTTATTATACATCTTCTTCTCGTTGGTCTTCTATTATTTCCTCGCATTGTTTGAGAAAACTATATCATTATAATTATAAATAAGTATAACACTATATAAGCCTCGGCGAGAACGGAGATTGCTTGTAGACCTCGCTGTACCTCATACTAGTCCAGCAATCCCTTACTTATTATATATATTTATTTGTATTTGTTGTTGTGTATGCATCATGTCGGCTTTCCTATACAATAAATCAATAAATAAAAAGTCCAGTCAAACTCTGACCATGCAATAGGTGTAACCATTTTGAAACATCGTATCGAAAATATAAAGAAGTCACACCGTGGTTAGAAATCTGTAACTTGGGGTAATCATGTCGTCAGTAACCATGTAAAAACCATTTGGCGAAGTGCTGGTAATGTAACTTGGTTATGTACGGGTAACTAGGGGAAAAAACCGACACGCGAGCGCTACCATGCAAACGAAGTTTGATTCCACTTTGAATATTAACTAATCGAAGTCAATGACATACAGTACAGATGACCATGTACAAACTAATATCATCAAAATGATAAGGGTCGTCGCTTGTTTTCTATTAAATTACGTAGTTTCGAAATTACACGGGCTCAAGATTTCGCAATCATATTAGAGCCAGCAATTCGTAAGCTTTTCAAGATATTTTTCTAAAGATTCTAAATTTAAAATAATAAGAATTCAATATTTTTATTCTTTTTATTTTAAATTTTAATTTGTCACAATCAGTTGTGACCATGCGACCAGTGAAGAGCCCGAAACTTTGATTTATTTTGATTTGATTTTTTTTGTTCCAAAAACAATAATTCGTTGTCCTGTCACACGCCCTAGAAACACTCGGTGTGTCCAACAGCTGTTTTCATTCGCTATTTTTAAAATTTATAAAAAGGTACCAAGAATTATAAAAATTAAAAAATATCTATTTTTACCAACATCGTTAGGAACACCAAATGTCTCTAGGATGCATGATGGGTTCATTTCGAATGGTTATATTATTTGAATTTTGACTAAGTATCCTTTAAGATACTTATTCGTTAAGATCGATACAACCTCCAATAGTTTTGGTTGGTTCGGCATACGTTGAATCAATCACTTTGGAAAAAATATACAGTGAAATTATATACACTGATTATCATATGGTGTGAAAACACCATTCCCAAAAATATTCATTAAAAAAATACAAACATCGAAATTTTACAAGAAAACCGCTGTAGTCAATACACAAAAGATTTTTTGAATATCATCTGAACTAAATAGAAGACGTATATGCAGTAAATGATATACTACTCTGTCAAGAAAGTACCGGGAAAAGATCAATAATACACAAAATGTCTATTATTCATCCAAATTTATTTTATCACCTTCAAAGTATGCTCCTTTAGAAACGATACACTTGCGCCAACGAATAATCCATTCATCAAAACATTTTTTAAACGCTGCTTCCGGAATTGAGTTCAGTTCTCGCCGCGAATTCTCGCGAATTAAGACAAACTCTTTGTTCGATATTTTTGTCCATTATGAAATTCGCAATACACACTATATATGATATTACTAAAACCAGCACTGTATTTTATATAAATAACAGATGCAACTCCAACTCCGCGCCAAAATGGAAAACAGTTGTGCCAATCTAACAACTACAAAAAAACAAAAATTTGAATTTGGAACCATAAACAAATCATCCATTCCCGATACTTTTTTGACTGAATGTACATTTTTCAAATGGCTTTCAATTCATATGTAAAAAAATAAATTTTGAAATAAAGCCCCTGCTGCTCGACCCGCGCAATAGAACCGATTCACGGGAAAAATTTGGATTGAAGCTGAGGTAACTCTTAACGCGCCTTGCTTTGCAGTCTTCTCTTCCTCATACAAGAGGCCGATTTATCCACCCGCATTTTGATGGCAGTACCGAGAGTTTATAAGTCATATATTCCTTAGTTCTTATATACCCACCCGTAATCACCGTTACCGAGCCATTACGTGCAATTACTGGCCACGAATCTTCTTTAAGAAGATGGTTTGGGCTAGGCTAAGCCATATTGGCATAATGGGAATTGGAGACCTTTATAATACATTTTCCAAGCATTGGAAACGATCTTCGGCATGCACGTTTCACGATGTTTTCCTACACAAATGTGTCATGTAAACTAAAATCATAGATACATGCCGCTACCGGTATTCGAACTGTCAACTTCTAAATTAAGAAACAACCGTTCTCCTACTGGGCTACCACAGCTCTTTTCGAATGCAAATTCCATAAGGCATTGAATTACTCTTTATTACGTTTTCTTTCGGACTGTACCTCGTAAATGCCATACTTATAGCTTAAAGTACGTGTCAATTGAATTTCATAAATTGTGTTAAGTATTTTCAAGGAGAAAAATGTTCATATACAAAGAGACACAGATATGTCACTTATACTATTTGCAAATTCATTTAGAACCCGTAATAATATGTGCCTGTTTGGAAACCATTATCATAAATATTTCTTGTAGGTTTATTAGTATGGCAAGACTAATAAGAATCGAGAAACTAATTTTATAAGCAAATATATATTACAATCTACGACTGAGTTTATTTAGAATATTTTGAATATGTGCGTAGCTTCTAAAATAATAAGGTTTTGTGCGTGTTTATACGCATATTTTGGTATACCGTTTTAATTCAAGTAAATACGCAATGTGTGTTCTGAAAAAAATACTTACAGAGGATGTTCTAAGTTGATTTCCATAATAATGTCACGTGGTAATTCGAAGAATTCGGGATCTTTTCCATCTGCCGATAGTACTAATGGTAGTACATCCCATGCGGTCCGTTGAGCTGGCTTCCAGCCTAATTTAATGCATATCTGAAATATTCATTATTTGTTTGAAATTTAAACTTTGGTCAACGTTTTTACACTAATATTGAAAATCACAATGTTTCCACTAGTTGTTGTAAAGTAATTATTAAAACAACGATCGAACACAAAGAAAACCAGCGCCTTGACTGAATCTCTCCCAACTGTTATAAAATAGAGCCAGCGAAGTAAGTAAGTATTTCTTTCTCAAACATGCTCCGAAATGTTTGCATTACTTTCAAAAAATGAACGCAGAAAGTTTGTCATTTAAGGTCCGTGTGACTTCTTCCCGGCCAAGGCCTGCAAGGTACGTATGAACATTCATTACTGTCCACTTCTCTAAACTTTTAAATCTAGTTACTAATCAAGAACTATATAAACAGGCAAAATGAAAACTCATACAGCCAACTGCTCAGTGTTCATGGTTGCAAGAATTAAAAAACCTGGCTGTACCGCTTACTTTAAAAAAAAAATAAAAAAACATTTAAACTAAAGTGTTTTAGTATTCTTTTGCTTTTACGTATTTTTTGTATTTGGATATAAGGTTATTGGTCGCGAGAATGAGTGCTAGTGAGAAGAGCAATAATGAAATTAGAGTAATAGATGCACATTCAAACACATTATCAGAAGTTCAGCAGACTACTATTAATGTGCCAGGAAAAACAATAACATTTTCTTTTAGCGATTGTCCGAAGACATTAAATAATAATAATTAAATTAATAATTAATATTTTTCTATTAGTCTTTTATTCTTCTCTTTTATTATTTCCTCACATTGTTTGAGAAAAATGCTACACGTGACTCGGCGGGAACGGAGATCGCTTGACTCGTATTAATACAAGGGCGCGCTGGCGCTCGCCCTTGTAACTCATACTCGTCCAGCAATCCCTTACTACCGGGCCTCTGCAATAACGTACTATTTATATATGACGCAAACTACAAAATCGTAATTTTTGTATATACATATTTGAATCGGGAAGATGGAAAGTGATTATAATTAAACCAACTATAATGTTTGGACCCCTTCTCACCTCAGTGAATTCTACCCGAGCGGGATCACCAAGTATAGACCCGTCTTCCTCAACATAACCAGCATAGGCGATGAGTTGATGGTTCCATATTCTGTAGTCGTGTTTGCCATCAGTCCTTTGGGGAAAGATGGTTATTGCTGCCCTGTGGTACAGTTTATGATTAAAATTGGGTTAGCCGAAAACACCGTGCGGTATTAAAGTATAAATGACAAATATCTGAATAACTGAATGTAGAATATGCTACACGGACAAGAGTACTGTGTTTAAACAACACGATTAATGTTGTTTTCGGTCTCCTTTGTACTTCTATCTTCCCCTTAATAACTTTTGAAAATTAGTAATTACTCATTTTAGTCACACCAAAATTTATTTAGCTAAGCATATTACAATATTGTTAATTAGATACTAAAAATGTCACCGAAACATTTTTGACAAATAAAAATATAGTTTTCTATTTGAATTAATTAGCAAATTCTTTATTTGAATTAATAATCATTATTTATTTATTTAATGCGGAAGCAGGGCGGGAAAATTAATTTCATGAAAAAATATTCAATGAAAGCGTGGCTATTTTGCATGATTTAACCTCCACTGGGTTCGCAGAGTAGCAAATTAAAATTACTTCCATTTTTATTCTATTTGAATTAACTTCACAAATGTATAAATGCACAATACTTCTCAGATACGTTGTATCTGTTGTTTTGCGAAATATTAAACATACAATTGAAGGTTACTTTTAATCTACTGTCGGAATAGTGTTCCAAATGAGAAAATAAATATCTGCATACATATACAAGGAATGACATCGGGCGGTTAAAACCACCAAAGATTAATTAATCACTTTTTCGAATTTATAACGAAATTAAGTGAAGTCGTAGATTAAATATATAATGTATAATAATAATATAGAATAATATATAATATAGATTCGTAGACCTAGATTAGTAACATCGTAAGTAACACCTTTTTTTCCGTGACTTTCGACAAAGCACGATAAATTTACCAAAAATAAAGTTTCAAGTTTTTTGGTACTGTCTGACACGTTTTCGATCTGGTATTTGGTAGTGAGATAGTAAGTTTAAAGGTGCAAACGTCATCTCTGGCTACTCCCGCGTTTTGCACAGAGTTGTCGTCGTTGGGAGTGATCTATTTAAATAGTTTTATTTTTATATTTGAAAGCAAAATCTGACGAATTAGTAAAATTCATGGAACTTTTTGCTGATAGTAGTTTACAAATAACCCTGTTTAATAATAATAAGTAATATCCCAATTAGTTAACATAAGCTTTTGCTTGAAGCTCATAAAAAATATTAGTTTTGATGAAAGATCAATTATCTACTACGTTTTTTTTCATTGCGCCCATAGAACTTCAGCTTCCTAAGTGAGTAGTTTTATTTTACGATGCAACAAAATTATTTCCGGAAATCCGGAATTCGTAAAAGTAATTAATTAATATTCGGCGGTTTTAAACACGGAAGGAAAAAAATGGAAGTGCCTTAAGCTTAGATTACTACCAGAACTGCTGCTGTCACCAAAACTCAGACATTCGTAATTTGAAACACTATGAAATGTTCATAATGATTGGTCGTATTTTCTAATTTAAAAAGAATGAACTAACTCTGGACTGTTTTGAAATTTTAACCTGTTGGCATATCATTGAAAGTTCAATTATTCCAAGTTATAGCGTTTTTATATATATATTGAAACTTTAATCAATGTGCTGCCATCTAGCGGTCAGTAGTTGAACGATGACGAACGATTATCGAGGAAAATTCGAGTTTGTTTACTTTATTCTCCAAAAAAGGAGCATCCATATTGCAGTGGCATAAGGTTTACTTTTGTTTCTTGTAAGAAAAAAATTATTACGATAAACAGAAAATTATTTTATCAAATTTACATTTGATAAAATTAAGTAAAATAAGATTTAATAATAATTCAACACTACCCTGGATAATATTACAGGTATGACCACTGACTTACAATTATATGGACGTCGGGTCCGCGCTAAAAAGTGTCCGAACTTATAGGGCGTCAAAATCGTATACAGAGCGTCATTCACGTTTTAGTCTTCGTTTGTTCGACTCACAGCGAAGCAAACAAAATTAGACAATACTGCGATGACATTACAATTTAAATTCAACGTTTTAGCTTTTTCATATTCCTTTACATGTCACTACGTTTAAATAGGTTGACTTGGGACATTTTTTTCGTGGTTTGTGTATTAGACCCGTCGTCCATTTATTTTTAAGTCAATGGGTATGACTATAATTTTTGCATTCCAAGTAGCAAAATAACGCATTTTTCTACGATTTGAGGTCTTAGGCGAGATAATTGACACGACCATAACGTATGTACAAAGCGAAAATGGCGAACTGAGCTTGATTATATGGAACTCCACATACTGTTATCACACTTGACACGCTCACTTGACAAGCACTTCTACTGTATTTATGGTTCTGTAGTTTTAACCGCTCTATGTTAGGTACTCCTTGTAAACATTATATGTATAATAGACATTTATCTACTCATTTGGAACACCCTGTTCCGACCATTGTAATAATAAATATTTATTATAAATTTGAAATTAACAGATTTTAAATAGTTATATTCTGTTTTTTAAAATAAGTAGCATGAATGACACACTAATCGCACGACAGTTAACCGTAGACAAATAGGCAAGAGTTAAACACTTAACCATTAGTTTAAAATTTGCATAACACTTAAGTTATTTGCTCAAAAATGTACATTTGGTATTTAATTTTAATATGAAGCACTACAAGTTTTAACGACCTAACCAAAAGTAAGACATGATGTAAGCCACTACGCATTGATGATGTAATTAGTCGATTAATTATTCTACCGCCGTTAGTTGAAAGGGCGCATTAGACATTGTTTAAAAAAAATGTTATGTATACTGCCGTGATCAGTAAAACTAGGCCAATCTGTCATTATTTTTATTTTTTCCTAGATCAATATGGTATGAAGTTACCGCAACAGAAAAGTAGATGTTTTTTATTTCATTTCTTTAAACATTATTTTCTCAGTTTTGAGATTTGACCCAAGCGCCCTTTTAACTAACCACGGCGGTATTGATTTTGATCGTTATTGTGCATGACTTAATGCTTTACTCCATCCCTTACAATTAACAACAAAGCAGAGACACAGTCTTGATTTGCGAGCCTCAGCGATGACGAAAAGACGAACAAGAGAAGTGGAGACTACTTACCGTATATTTCCTTTATTGGTGGCATACTTAATATGAGTGCAAAGTGCTTCGAACATCCCTCTTGCTGTCGTCACCTCTCTGCAGTCGAAAATCTGTAGCAATTTTTTGAAATGTCAGTGGTCATAACGGTTGAAACCTTTCTATGTTTTTATACACTTGAAGATAGGCATCAAGTATGCTAAGGGTGAGCACAGATCTAGCGAACGCGCCGCAAATTTGCCTGTTTGCGAAAGGCTCGTGAGCTGAACACGTGCATTACGTTGTGCGACTATCCGCGTGTCGTTCGCGCGCTGTACTCAGCACGCGTACAAAAACTTTTAAGTTTTTGTTTTACTATCTGACGCTTTTTAGATCTGCATTTGGTGGAATAAGTTCAAATCTGCAAGTATCCACGACCACTCCCAGCCGATGGTGGGAGTAGTCGTGAAGGACGGTGCCTGCACAGAGCATTACCGTTTAGAGCGATCTATTTAAATTTATTTGTTTTTGTATGAAAATATAATGTATCGAATTATCAAAAGTCATAGAACAAAGGTTGTTATTTATGATGTTAGTAATATAGTTCTCCGAGGTTGTTCGTATTTTAAAAATAACCCTGTAGATTACTAGACGTACTCACATTGTTTTTGTTTTATTTTGCTTCAATATAATATGTAGCTCCATTTACCATAAATACACGTAACTTTCTATTTTGATCGATAAAGCTGTTAACATAGTTCGTCCGAATTTAAATTTCATACTGTATATTGTGACGTAAATAAGTCCATTAGTGTTGTGAGTGATTACATAAATGTACCATAAAGCCAGATGTTGTAAGTTGTAATGAGGTCCCGTTTCGAAAGTTGTCAAGTCTTTAGCTGTGTGCGCCTAATTAAAAGTTCTACATGTGGCTGTTACCAAAGAAATAGCAAAGCCCCTTACGAGGGTTTTATGTTGTCAAAATATACAAGTCAACTTCACTAAACTGGCAAAACGCTTCAAAGGACAACGTCCTCCTCATGGAAGAAGTGTATTCATTCAAATAAGTTGTACGTAGGACATGTACTGTAAATCGTTTAATAAATAAATTGTATGTTATCATTAATTTATTCAACGAAAACTATATACTCCTATAAGTAAGAGAAAGATTACACAATAATCTTAATTAACGAATTTAAAAGCTAAATAATTAGGGCGCCTTCAAATTAAATGCTTATGCATTGCAGCCTTGCCACTACTAATTTTCACACAATATTTAGAAGCGCAATTGCAGCCTCTATTGTCGTGACACGCACGCGCCATTTTTGCAGTTACAATAACTGAACTAAAAATTTACTGAAGCGCTAGAGACGCGCCACTAATGCTATTTTGTAGGTTAATTCATCACGCTTGCTTGTGACCTACATTTAATTTTTTTTTATCACGTCAAGTGATGGTACGAACAAGTAAGTCATGCGCCTGGGGGTAAACGATACGCCTGTCCATACCAGTTGCTTTGGCGCTCATATATTTAAATCGCATAAATCTATGGAGACTTGCCACTGCGCCTTGCACCCACGCCAAGTTGCAAAGTCCCATGTGCCTGTAATTTCTAAAGTTGAATAATGTTTTTCAAAAATTTTTTTACACCACTTGTTCGAGCCGATATCAAGGTCACCTACTCACTCACTCAAAATCACCTACTCTCATTTCCTTTATTTTCCATTTAATTTTATATTGCTATCCTTTTTACCCTGCTGCAAGTGAACTAGTTCGTAGTTGGGACAGGCTACAATTAAGGATAACGTGCGTCCGTCTTGGACCACCCTTCGACGCTCGTTTAGGTTTGTAGATTCACTGCAGTATTTAAAGACTTAACGCACTCTGATTAGTCTTAATTCGCCGTGTGTGAAATACCGTTTGTGTTATGGTGCTGTATTAAACTCTATGCAGTGATAAATCAAGTGATCATTGTCGTAACTGGTAGCCTTCTCTGACCGCCACTGCGCCAACGGATCCGCCACGCGTTCCACCGCATTTGTCTAGTGGAAGTTGAGGAAGAACGCTGCTAAGGACAACATACGAGCACGAAACCTACCTCTAAAGTCAGTGCAGCATAGTTCTGTTGTTCAGCAAGCCTTTTACCTGCCGATTCGTCCTTGCTATATATAGTCCACTTCTCTACCTACCAACCACCTATCAACCGTCTGGGCCACGTACATCACAGAACTCTGTGATAGTAGTACATGCTAACTTATACGCAAAGAGTTTGCTCGAAGAAAACAAACTGATAATTAAATATTTAAAATCTCTTTTCTTTGTTATAATTATTAATACAAAGACCGAACACTAAGAAAAAATTTCTTCGATGCAGCTGGATTCAAACAACGCCTTGACTAACTCTCTCTTAACTGTCAGAGAATCGTGATATTAATTTATTTTATTACACGAAGAGTGCGACTTGAGGCCAACAAGATTTACAATCAATAACAAACAATTTATATCATTAATTATTAATACAAAGATCGAACGCTAAGAAGAAAATCCTTCGATCCGGCTGATTTCGAAACTACGTCTTCCAGCAAACCGTGTCAGACGCTATGACAACTAAGCCACAGAATAAACCAGCGGACCTTATGAATTTTTCTATATGCTTATTGCAGATCTTTCTTTTTGGTTTTTAATGACTATTTTGCCGTGTGAGAAATCTGTGAGAAATATATTTCTCCATTCAGGCATATGTCTTGTAATTCTTGATGCAAAACATATTTCGGTAGAATGATTTTTTTTATATTGTTTAAGGTTTTTTATTATTGTATTTACGTTAGTGTTTTTGAATGAAAAATCTGTACACGTGTGCGGTAACCCATACCTCGCTATTTTCGTACATTGTATGTGTAGTGAACACTTGCCTATTTTAGTCGTCATCATTTAGTGCTGAGTATTTTTTTGTTTTCGTTTTTATGTGATACAAAATGTTCATACATGATATTCAAGCGGCACGACAATGACAAACTATTAAACAATGTTATCCCATTCGTAAGCCAGCCTTAATAATACAATGTACATTTGACGATGTCATAAGCTACCTGACCTCTTAGCCGACTGTTTAGTTTTGAGAGCCTTTATACGCATTCAACAGGAAATTGCAAAGGTGTTCCAGCTTTTTGGTTGAAATTTGTATTTATGTAATGTAATTAAAGATTAAATTGGCTTAAAAAGTTTCTTAAAGCGTCATTCTCTAATAATGCAATGAGGAATTCAAACCAAAATGTATTTAACGGCTCATTGGTCAAAGGTTAAATTTGTTTAATACTTTTCTTCACACTGACTCAAATTGTAACAAAATGCCTCTATATTATTGTTGAAGGTACCCAAATATATTCATTTTATTACACTTATTTTCCCTTAATTTACGTGTGGTTTTCAAGTATTTGAATAAATTGGGCACTTATATCGGTCCCTGTGGGACGCCCTCCAACATTCCGAGGAAATATTAGGCAAATCCACGTAAGTGAATATTCAACGTTAGCTTGGTTTATTTTGTGTATTTCTCTCATTTCGGGCACAGCCAACCCACGCAGGTATTTAGTCAAGACTACCTTCAATGAAATTCGCTCAGATTTATTACATTTTTTTTAATTAAACTTCAACAAACCTTTTTTAAATAAACTAATTTACAAAGCTACGACACCTGTTCCCAACCTAGGTAAGCACTTGAAACGCAAATTCAATTTCATTATACTTATGAAGATCTACATGGAACATTCCATAATATCATTACCTGTGATAAGATTCCACATTTCGAGTAAAGCGGCGGTAGATCGGTGGCTTGTATAACTTTTTGTTAATATTAATTGCGTTATACCTTCATTATATTTTCTTTTTTTTCATACATTGTTTACATTTAATAAAATTGTTATTTTATATATTATGTTAGAGAAGTTGCAACACTCATGCAAATATGTTTAGGTTTAAGAGTGTAAAGTAAAACCGTGTTAATGTTATTGTAATTATTAAATAAATATAAAAAAAAACTACGTTCATCGACTGTTTTGTGGAATTTACAAAGGCATTATAACTATGTACTCAGGCAGTATATTTAAAAAATTTTGTTAAATTGCGGCTACAGAAAATTTGGTTATTATATGTAATAACATATGCAATACGCATGTATAAAATTTACATATTCGTGGATCCAAAAACCGGCGATGCATTGGCACGAGAATGAAAAAATGGTGTTTCCCCAGGGACCTTACCTTGGACGGCTGTTATTTAATATAATTCGCCGTGGTTTGGATAACCTATGTCACAAATTCGTTAAAATTGATTTTGACTTTTCATGTAAGTTTTTGTGTGAAAACAATTTATTTAAAGATATCGCCAAAACAAGCTATTCTCATAATAGTCGTTCAACCGCTAATAAACGAAGACAGATGTTCATAGTTTTATATTGCCATATGTTAGTCGCATTGTAAACAAGTCGTGGGTCCCCAGTAACCCAATTTCGCTATTTGCGGTTGAGTAATCGGCCCTATCTTTAACTTTTTCATTCGTGGGGCAAACAATTTGCTTGAAATATGCTTGCCTTGATACCGTGGGTTGAATTTTCTTTGAAAATCTAATTTGAACGCCGTCAGTGGCATCTGTTTTCCTGGTTCGGAGGGCAATACATTATCTGTGTTATTATTAAAGTGCACAATTGATGTATAATCGGTCTTTGATTGTATCATAGACAAATTAAATTTTGATTTTTCCATTATACCAGTCAAAGCAACTAGAATTATAGACATAAAGAAGCTCTATCCGAATACGTTAATTTTAAGTTTGTTTTTAATTACTAATCTAGATGTAATTCAAACAAAGAGTATGGTATTGATTATTTAGAATCTCTATTACTCCTCTTGCTAAAAGCTAAATTCGTTCGTACGTATAATAAAGACGCATATGATCATATGTCAAAAGTGCTGTTATCACATGAAAGTCATAAAAAATATACGAACTACATGAAGTACATTCAGCATAATATGTGAAATTTTGTAATTGTCCTATTTAAGCATTAAATAGTTGTGGACTAATTTCGGTCGTCGAATCTTTAAACCGCTTCCCTGAAACGTTGTCATTTACTAGATGTGGCCTTATGAGACCAAGGATGCGAATTCGATTTTCAACTCGGGCTTAAGTATAATAATTTCTTGCTAGCTTTCTTATTATTGTCTATAAATGTGCTACATTACCTGTATTTTCTTCCATTGAATTCTTCCAATACATCGTTGAGCGTTCCGCCACGCGGTCTTAGCAGCAAACACGAGCTCTGGACTTTTGAGCTGATAAGTTCCGTGTTCTTTCAATTCTTTTCTCACTTCTTCCAATCTGTTTGTATAAGCCTTGGAGTTTTCTCTGTAAAAATTATATTATATCAAAGATCTAGAAAGGGATGCTTTAAATGGTCTGGATATGTGGAAAGAATGAATGAAAGATGATTGATGAAACAGATTTATAAGGCGAGTGTGAGCGAGGACGTTGGTAAGGGCTATCTGAGGCGAACCTACCACAATCAAAGAAACGCCAGGTCAAGAGTACCTTTAACCGAGGAGTATGTATTACAGCACTGTTGCGTGATGATGAGGAGAAAGATGCGTGTCAAGATCGTAGCAAATGGAAGGCTGTGGTCTCTCTCTACTACAGCGTGAAATGTGTATGTATTATAAATACTCACTATTTCTAACCGACTTTACTACGAATGTATTTTATATCTTACTCAATTACTCTGACATTTTTAAATCGATTTCGAGGATTATTTTTTTGCTAGAAACTTTTTTGTACTCCCGTACCTCAGTAGTTGTCCCATCTAAATTTGTAGAAAATATTCTACCGGAATCCGGTTTATTAAATTTCATTCACTTTCGTAACGGAAACGGAATTTTTATTGAAATTGGTTATCACGGATTTCGATAATCATCGGATATCAGAGCTTTAAATCACAAAAATCTTATGGGCACTGCCACAGTTGCAGTGACTGCACCTGTTACCCCAAGACATAACTTGACAGTTCCATGTGCCTCTAATTTCACCAGCACCCTTACCCTTCTAAACCACATTACTGCTACCAAAAAGTTAGTATAGAGATCTCAGTCATAAAATTATTTTTTATACTACTTCCACTTGTCCGATCTACTTGAAATTTGATCCGATCGACTTGAAATTTGTTCCGATCGACTTGAAATTTGGTCCGATCTATTTGAAATTTGTATACTATGGAAATCAAATAGCATTACAATAATAAACTTTGATCTGATACTGTAACCAAGACAATCTGCAGACTATAGGACTCCTTGGCTACTTACAGTAGAACTATCGTGTTTGGACTTGTTTTTATAATATCAAGTGATGAGACGAACAAGTCGTGTGCCTGATGGTAAGCTACACGCCTGTCCATAACACTTGCAGTGCCACTCATGGCTTTAAATCGCAAAGATCTGACGGGCATTGCCACTGAGCCCGTCGCCCTGACACATAAGTTGACAAGTTCCCATGTGCCTATAATTACACCAGCATCACCACCCTTCTAAACCGGAACACAGTAATGCTAACATTAATGCTTGGCGGCAGAAATAGGTAAGGTGGCAGTACGTCCTTGGACGAACTCTTTCACAAGGACCTCTACTGCTGCTAAATTACAATCGGCTCATTACAATAGTCTCGATTAGTTGTTAGCTTACAGACTTTATTGACATTTGGAGAACACTGATTTGTGTCGGGGTTTTCAATTTTAATTGAAGTTTTATTTTCTTATACAGATGACTATTTACCTTCGTATGGATTCAAAATATTGTTTGTAGAATGATTGAGCCTCCTCGTATACTTCGTCTGAGGACCGTGGCGTCTCTCCCCTACTTGTATCTCCAGTGTTCATCACACTGCCCTGGCATACTCTTTCTGTGCAGTGTGCATTCTGTAAAGAAGTTGTATAGAATTACTTAATTGTATTATTCTTTAATGTACGAACAGTGAATTAACGAAATATTTTCTATTACACATTAAAAATTGAAATGACTTTATTTACCAGTAATCAATTATTTATCTCCTCAACATTATCTCCAATGAATCCTACGCCAACTTACTTTTTGGACCTGTTCTTTTTATTTTGTTTCATTTTGTGTTTTTTTTTTACGAATTTTATACCAGTAATCAACTATTCAACTCTCCTCAACATTATTGATATCTATATTTTCCACAAAATTTGGGGATATTTCTTTACTAATGTAAATAAATATGGCCGTTTACAAAAATAACAGAAAATGACCAAAAATAAAATTGGCGTATCGTTATAATTATATTGTCATACCCTACTCTAACCATTTACTTAAATGATTGTAACATCTATGTACATATGGAGAGCAATAAAATTATTGAACTTTGAGTAATGTACGTTCATAACGCTAATGTAAACAGGCGGCTTTATTGCTGCGTAGTATTTAAAAAAAAAATCATTTCAGTCATTATTCCGTATGATTTAATAATAGAACATTTAAATATAGGGTTGGTATTAAGAAGAAATGAACATGAATTCGAACCGTCCAGTTGAGAAGCAACCGTTCTCCAACTGGACTAACACCGCTCTTTTTCCCCCTGAACTAGTTTAGTGTATTATCTTTGTATAAAAACAAAGTCATTGTAAAATGTGTCATTTCACTATTGCAAGTCACAAATCAGGGATGTCCCAGTATCAGTGTGACTAAAGTTGTTCTAGGGGCACTACCTAGAACACTCCGACTAAAATTAATCAGTAGGGCGTCGAACCCGGAACCTTATGTAAAATAGTTTTCCCTCAGCTTTCAAGCTATAACCGAAAATAAATAGCATTTGTTACCTACCTTTATATTCTATTATCCTTATTAAAGAACAAATTAAAATATCCTTAAAGAAAACCCACTAATCAAAACCCCCGACGCAAATAACGAAAATTAACCGGAAAAACAACGTCTTTATTTTCCCAGCTGAAGCACGAGCCATGTTTTATTTGAAATATTACATTAATAAACCAAGTAAGTCAAGGGTTAAAAATCAAATTTATTTCGAGTTTTGTTTCTTATTATTATGAATTTGCAGTTATGATAAAAATCTCTATATAATTTAGGTTGACTGTACTTTCTTACTGCACTATTGTAGACCAGGAGTCTAAAGACACAGGACTTTCCTAGCTTAGGCACCTGTCTCTCACAACGACTAAAGTTTAAGCTCGATTCCATTGCTTTAAAAAAATATATGTGGGAGAAAATAAACAAATATTATTACTAAATTATTACTACACCCGTGGACAAATTTAGAGCATCGCTAAAAATAGATTTCATTACGATAACAATGTTTATATAAACCACTGGCCACACATTCCAGAATATTTAATCTATAACTACACCAATTGCCTTGTCTCAAACTAGGGAAAATCCTGTACTATGAATATCACAGTATCGAATTTCACTCTACGGCACTTCCCAAAACATCCAAATTATAGCCAATTTAGTTCATTTCTCAAATTAGTTCTACCGGGAATCGAACCCGGGACCTTCCGGGACATCCAGCGCCTACAGTGTACACCGTAAGGACATTGAGGTCGTTGACTTTAAATTTGAAAAAAGAATAATGATTCGATGATCAAGCTTTTTTTAGGATTCCTCTTAATATACTTACAAACCACTGGTAACGTAACGTTGTGGTATCGAAAGTAACCACATGTTATCAAAAGTGGCAACGTAATATCTAAAGTAGCAATATAGTAACAAAGTACCAGTAGGTTGTCTAAAATAGCAGTACGATGATGTTTACCTATGCATATAATTATGAAACGAACGACAGTCCATAGACAACTTTAGTGATGTCCTCGATGTTACCAAAAGTCACGACATGTGTATTGCTTATCGTAATTATATCAGTGATTCAATCTTTAGTCAATACTTACAATCGTGACTAATTTCTTACAATAATTGAAATATTTCATATATTTTATCTTTACCGGAAATTTTTTAGAACACATAACAACGTATAGTTTAGTTAACACTTAGTCACAAAAAATAACAAAGAGCATTATATCTTTAAACATAATAAAGTAATATATTTATGACTCTGTTATTTGTTTTTTGTTAGAAGGTCCATGTCGTCATTATGCATTACCAAACCATTGAAAAACTCTGGTTTGTACGTATTATCATGTAGACACTAATTTTTTGTCATGAAGATCTTTACTTTATGAAACTTCAGCGATATTCTTAGAAGGTGACGTGAATAATAGAGCACTAAGTTAGGACTTGTTGAAAGATTTATTATATTCTTTACAATGGTATAGGTTGTAATTTTTAAGTGTATGAATGTCCCGATGTTTGACCACCATGATATACAATTATTTTTGTAATATTATTCCACTAGTTTGTAATAATTATTAATACAAATATCGAACATTAAGAATGAATTCCTCCGCCTGGATTCGAATTTAAGTCTTCTAGCAAACCGTATCAGATGCTTTGCTAACTAAGCCAAGGAACAAGTTAGCGGATCTTACGAATTTTCCTATGTGCTTGTTGCCAATCTTTGCTTTTCTCCACTCTGTTCACTCGTTAAAAACCAAAAACAAGAATCTTACGAAGAAAAATTCGTAAGGTCCGCTAGTTCGTTCCGTGGCTCAGTTGGCATAGCGCCTGACACGGGTTGCTGGAAGACGTTGGTTCGAATCCATCCGGATCGAAAGATTTATTCTTATTGTTCCATCTTTGTATTAATGACTATAACAAACAAAAAACTTATTGAATATGTAATTGTGTTTGTTTTCTTCGACCATAAAAATTTCTTGCGTATGAGTTAGCGTGTAATATTATCACTGAATCCAGCCCGATCGAAGGAATTGTTTCTTAGTGTTCGACATTTATGGAAATGTCAACTTATGTTTAAGAAAAATATTTTTTTTTATGAAAAATAGTGATAGGCATAACTTTCTTCACTATTGTCTTTATGTCACAAATTTATTTAAGGGTAAGTTAGTGTATACGTTTTTATATATTATTATAATAAGACTGCGGTTGATATTCAAAATTTGCAATAAACAGGCTGTAAAACTATAGTGAATCGATACTTGATAATATGGTAAATACTTGTGTAATATTTGAAGTAAACATTGTAAATGATAAATATGAACAAATGTGTATTTGCAAATAGCAACCTTAGAATTTTTTACTTATTCTTGTCAGGACAATAATCAATAGTTTAATCATTGTAACGATTTCAAGTGTATTTTTATTTGATTTCAAGTAATTGTTTCGGACGGATGTCGGACGGAGATCGAGAGTAGACCCCCAGTTCCGAATCCGTGAAATGACGTATATCCGTAATATCACAGGTGTCCAAAGTATCATTTACCTCTAGGTGTACAGTCAAGAGCACATCAAGCTTAACACTTTGTACTTTTGACCGTTCTTATCGTAAGCGGCATAGAGTTGTATTTAAGCCTTAAGTGTCAAGCTTGACGTACTCTTGACCCTCTACAAGCGATATTCGTACTTTTTACGGATACAGATTTAGTGCACGAGCACCATCCGAAGTGGATCCGAGTTTTCTACATTTTTATAGTTTCGAATTTGAAACGAATCGAATGAAGGGCGCAAACTTACGGTAAGTCGGTGGTCATGATTCGATATATTTGTATGTCTAATATGTGATTGGACGTGAAACTATGGTAAAACCGGGATAGATGCCCTATTTTTTGAAATGGCATACTAATTAAAAAAAGTTAGTTTAATCGTTTAACTTCCATTAAAATTTAGATTTGTTGATCTAACATTTAACGATTTTGCAGAAATTGAGTTTTTGCAAACCTGTTTTTTAGAGGATAGATGCTTGTGGGATAGGATAGACGCACTTTAGAATAAAATAAGTAAATTAATAATAAAATGTGTAATTACTAATTTTTAATTATTCGTATAAATATTTATTGTGTTACGTGGCTACTTCTTTACAACTTGTGTTTTTACAAATAATACATGGCATGGCATGAATGATGAACCACTCTAAGAATCAATTGACAAATAAAACACAATTCAAAACTTAAAGCGAAATGGTATCGTAGGCTTTGAAGCGTGTGAGGTAGAGGCGGAAAAATACATTGTAAGATATAGCATTTTAAATGTAAAATATACTCTGTTATTACTGTCTGTCTGTATATTACTGTAATATAATCTCATTGTCTCCAGCGTATTTATTATGTAACACGGGAGAAAAATTTCATTGAAATACACACATCAAAACTGTATAAGGATCAAGGTATTTTTAAAATATTTGATAACCCTATTAAAATTAAATACAAATATTTACATAAATTTATTAAATTATTTCTTAAATTATAAAATTGTCAAAAAACCATTGGTGTTCAAATTTGAAGAAAATATTTTACCTCTAAGGGTAGCAAATTAAGATATGAATCCAGTTTATTAGATTTCAATAAAATTCAGCAAATAGATTCCTAAATTTCTGTTTTATACAAAATTTATAATTAATTGATCATTTGTATGGGAAAGCAATGTTAAATAAAATTACATACACACATACGACAGCGCCTATGTTCTATTGGGGTAGGGGAATAAAGCTCCTGACAAGTTTTTTTCGCCTTCTCTACTCGCGTCAATCTCTTCATAAATTACTTTTTTATTCTTAAAACTTTTAATACTTGGAGAAAATATTTCCTTGACATTGTGTTTTAAATTGTAATATTGTAACTTTGATAATATGAAATAAATTATTCTATTCAACCACGTTTACCTTAAGTTTACCTCTACAAAGGCTATCGAGAGGACATCAGCATTCACTTACGTTTTATCCTTAATTACTTGCCTTGTTGTTTCGAGAAGTGTATCTATGGGAGTGTCCCAGCGCTGAGCGGCGGGCCAATCACCAAACGAATATTCATATGCA